GGCACGCATCTGTAATCCCAGCTACTCGGGAGGCGGAGACTGCAGTGAGCCCAGATTGCTCCACTGTACTCCAGCCTGGCAACAGAGTGAGACTTCGTCTCCAAAAAAAAAAGTCAATGAATTCAAAGATAGATCAATAGAAATTGCCAATCTGAAGAATCTGAGAGGAAAAAATGAACAGAGCCTCAGAGATCTGTGGAACATCAGGCATACCAGCACATGTGTCAGAGAATTCTACGAGGAAAGGAGAAGAAAGGGCAGAGAAAAAAGATTTTGTGAAGAAGTAATAGCCAGAAACTTCATACATTTGGTGAAAAATGTGAATCTCTGAAAACTTCAAATTGTATAAATATTGAGGGATCTACATCTAGGCATATCCTGGTCAAAGTATTAACAGGCAGACATAAAGAGGCCAGGCATGGTGGCTCACACCTTTAATCCCAGCACTTTGGGAGGCCGAGGCAGGCAAATCACTTGAGGTCAGGAGTTCGAGACCAGCCTGGCCAATGCAGTGAAACCCCATCTCTACTAAAAATACAAAAATTAGCTAGGTGTGGTAGTAAATGCCTGTAGTCCCAGCCACTCGTGAGACCAAGGGAAGAGAATCACTTGAATCAGGAAGTGGAGGTTGCAATGAGCTAACATCACACCACTGCACTCCAACCTGGGCAACTAAATAAGACCCTGTCTTTAAAAAAAAAAGAAAAAAAAAAAAAGGTATATCTTGAAAGCAGCAAGACAAAGGTAACTCCTCAAGTTTTTGATTATAACAGTATGAATGTTTGCTGACTTCTCAGTAGAAACAGTGTAGGGCAGAAGGCAATGGAATGACATATTTAAAGTGCTGAAAGAAGAAAACCAAATCAAAATTTTTATAATCTAGCAAAAGTATTCTTCAAAAATGAAGGCAAAATAAAGGCATTCCTAGATAAAGACTAAGAATTACTTGCTACCAGATCTACCTGAAAGAAGTTTTTGGACTGAGGAAAATTCTACTAATGGACGGTAATTCAGATCCACAAGAAGAAAGGAAGAACACCAAACTGCCAAATGTATGGATAAATGTAAGATAATGTATAAAAATAGCTGAGGCTCAAGTAGTAAAGAATGTTCTTCTGGCAAGAGGAATATAATAACAATGGAAACTTCAGTCAACTTAAAGGAATAAAGAATGCTAAAAATAGTAAACATGTAGGTAAACATAACAAATTTCTAATGTAATTTTTCTAAGTGGTAACTGACAGTAAAAAGCAAAAATCATAGCAATGTATTATGGTGTTAAAACATGTAGAATACAGAGTAGAAGGGTCCCAGAGGCTGGGAAGGGTAGAGAGGAATGGATAGGAAGTGGGGTTGGTAAATGGGTACAAAAAATAGTTAGAATTAATAAGACCTAGCATTTGCTAGCACAACAGGGTAATTATAGTCAGAAGTAATTGTAATATAAAAATAACTAAGTATAGTTATTGCCTGTAATATAAATGAATGCTTGAGGTGACGGATACCACATTTACTCGGATGTGATTATTATGCATTGCATGCCTATATCAGGGTATCTCAAATAACTCATGAATATATACACCTTCTATGTACCCACAAAATAAATAATTTTTTTAAATGTAGGAATGAAATATACGGCCATAATAACAGAAGACACGAGGAAAAAAAATACCTGATACTCTCTTGTAGTTTGTTGAGTATAATTGGCATAATCCTTTGGAAAGCTAGTTGGGCAGTAGCCATAAATATTTACTTTTAAAGAATCAATTATTATTTTGGACAGGGTCTCACTCTGTTGCCCAGCTAGAGTGCAGTGGTGTGATCACAGCTCACTGCAGCCTTGAACTCCTGGGCTCAAGTGATCCTCTCAGCTCAGCCTCCCAAGTAGCTGGGACTACAGGCACACACCAGCATGCCTGGCTAATTTTTGTATTTTTTGTAGAGATGGGTATCTCATGTTGCCCAGGCTGGACTCTTATTCCTGGCTTCAAATGATCCTCTTGCCTCGGCCTCCAAGAGTGCTGGCATTACAGGTGTGAGCGCCACACCCTGGCTTGCCATTAAAAATTTAAATGTTTAATCCTTTTGACTTAGCACTTTCTTGTAAGAACTTATATGATAGAAACACTACAATAACTTTGTAATAACTAAAAACTATAAAAAAGTCAAATATCCATTAAAAAGGGAGTGATTAAGTAAGTAGTATATTTATTTTGACTAAATATTATAACCATTAAAAAGAAGGAAGTCAGGGTGGGTTTGGGGGCTCATGCCTGTAATCCTAGCACTATGGGAGGCCAAAGCCCACACATCATTTGAGGTCAGGAGTTTGAGACCAGGCTGGCCAACATGGTGAAACCTCATCTCTACTAAAAATAAAAATATTAGCTGGGCATGTTGGCACATGCCTATAATCCCAGCTACTCATGATGCTGAGGCACAAGAATCACTTGAAACTGGCAGGTGGAGGTTTCAGTGACCCAAAATCACGTCACTGTACTCCAGTCTGGGCAACAGAGTGAGGCACCATCTCAAAACAAAAAAGAATGATGTCATTGTATATGTTTTAACATGGAAAAGTGTCCACTTAGCAGTTGCTAAATGTGATGCATTTGGTTTAGAAGTGATTGAGCAGCACAAAAGTATGTACTCAAAGGTGTGTGTGAGCATGTGCACATGCACACACTTTTTTTTTTTTTTTTTTTTTTTTAATGGAGTTTTGCTCTTGTCACCCATGCTGGAGTGCAATGGCATGATCTTGGCTCACTGCAACCTTTGCCTGCTGGGTTCAAGCGATTCTCCTGCCTCAGCCTCCCAAGTAGCTGGGACTACAGGCTCAATGGTTATTTTTGGGAGAAAGAGCTAGCCACCATGCCTAACTAATTTTTGTAATTTTAGCAGAGACAAGGTTTTACTACGTTGGCCAGGATGGTCTGGATCTCTTTACCTTGTGGTCCGCCTGCCTTGGCCTCCCAAAGTGCTGGGATTATAGGCCTGAGCCACCACGCCTGGCCAAGTAAGGTGTTATTTTTAAAAACCCAAAAAGTAAATTACTTTCTGTTGGATTAGAGGAAATTTCCATTAAGGGAGATTGAGTGAAGTGGTTCATAAACCCTTTTACAGATAACAATTAAAAGATCTGAGTAAAATATAAGAAACAACTGAAAGCATCCAAAAGCCATCCCTAGAACTTGAAGGAGAGTTGACTCCTGAAACACTATAATAGAAGGAGCAAGAATTGTAAGTTTCTTACTTTTTTGCCGGAAGTTATGCATTATTACCCATGGTGGCTTCAGCAGAATGAAATGACAGTGGAAAACTGTAGTCTTAAAGATGGGAGGTGCCAGAGAAGAGAAGTCAGAGATGGAAGAGAAGCTGGAAAGTTCAGGGGGAATCCTGGAAACAGGAGAGAACTACAGAAAGGGTGAGGCCCCATATCTGAGTGAAAATGCTGCCCAAATTCCTGGTTGACGGTTAAACTCCACATGTATAGGTGAGATCCCAAGGAGCTCAGCAAAACAAAAACAAAAATCAAAAACCAGCCAACCAATGAAACAAGCAAAGCAAGCAGGCAGAGGCCAGAGAGGAATCTACCCTTAAAAGACAGAACTATACTAGATGAGATCTGTGAGTGTCATGCTTTTTAAAATAGTATATCCCTAAATTGTGAACAGTGCAGCCATGGAAAGCTAAAGCTCTACTGGCTTGGGGTTCAGAGGAAAAACCCTAATAATTGCCCAAACAGCTGAAAACTTAGGAGGAAATCACAAGAACACAAAAATCATAGAGTGTGAGCCCCTAAATCTGAATATGATCAGCCTAAATCCTTAGCTGTCTGCCAAATTATACAGGAGCATGGAAGATGCCAGGGAGCCAGGCTAGATGCTGTAAGAGCTGAGCAGATACAGCAGCTGCTGCATACAATAGGAGAGACAGTTGGTGGTTTGAATCCAGGCAAGTTAACTGCCTACTAGAATATAAAAAAAGAAAGTCCTCAGAAGAACACAGTAGAATCCAGAGTTGCTATAACATCTTATCTACAATGCCAAGTTTTCGATCTACAATTACTAGACATGTAAATAAAGTGGAAAGTGTAACTCACAGGAAGAAAAGCAATCCATAGAGCCTGACTCTGAGTTTCTAACTGGGTACAGTGTTGGATTTTGCAGGCAGACTGGAAAGCAGCTATCCTGTGATCAAAGAATTATAGGAAAATTTGATCAAAGAATTAAAGGAAAAATAAGTGAACAGATAGAGAAATTGTAACAAAGAAATGGAAACAAAGACTGGAAGTTGTAGAGGTCAAATAAGTAATAGCTGAAATAAAAATTCACTGGAAGCTGGATGCAGTGGCTTACACCTATAATCCTACAACTTCGGGAGGTCATGGCAGGAGGATCACTTGAGCTCTGGAGTTTGAGAGCAGCCCAGACAACATAGACCCCATCTCTATAAAATAGTTTTAAAATGAACCAGTCATGGTGGTATGTGCCTGTAATCCCAGCTTCTTGGGAGACTGAGGTGGGAGGATCACTTGAGCCCAAGAGATCGAGGCTGCAGTGAGCTGTGATCATGCCACTACACTCCAGCCTGGCTGACAACATGTCTCAAAAGATAAAGTTCACTAGATGTGCATAACAGTGGTTTTGAAATGACAGAGAAAAGAATCTCTACCCTTGAAGATAGATCAGTAGAAATTATCCCATTTACTGAAGAGAGGAGCAAAGATTGAAGAAAAGTGAGTAAAGCCTCAGAGACTTCTAAGACAATATCCGGTAGCCTAATATAAGTATACCTGGAGTCCTAGAAAAGGAAGGAAAAAATAGGCAAAAAACAATATTTGAAGAAATGATATCCCCAAACTTCTCAAATATGGTGGAAAACACTATAGATTCGAGAAGTTCAATGGAGTCTAAGCACAAAGAAAATGCACTCTTAGGCACATCATAGTCAAATTGCCGAAACCAAAGATAAAAAGAAAATCTTTATAGCAGATAGAAATTTTTTTGCAGCTCATGAGTGTGATGATATTGAGTGTTCATGCACATGTGTGAGGTGTGCCACCCTCTGAACCTTGTAACAACATCAGCAATTACCCCTCTGACCTGAACTTGTGAGGGGGAGGGGAAGCAGATAGAGAAAAGTGACACATTACGTAAAAGGGATCAGTGTTACAAATATGACTGACTTTTCATCAGAAACAATGGAGGCCAGAAGACAATGGAACAGTATAGTCAAATACTGAAAGAAAAACCCTGTCAACCAAGAATCCAGTATCCAGAGAAACACATTTTCAAAAATGAGGGCTAAAGACATTTTCAGAAAAACAAAAATTGAGAGAATTTATCGCCAGCAGACTTACACTAAAATAATTTTTCACAATGAAGGGAAATTATACCAGATGGTAGCTCACCTGCAGGAAGAAATGAAGAGCACTGGAAATAGTAAATATGTAGGTAAATATAAAAGACTATGTATTTTTTTTTCTCTAATTTCTTTAAGATACATATGATTTTTTTTTTGAGATGAGGATCTCACTGTGTTGCCGAGGCTTGAGTGCATTGGCTGTTCACAAGGACAGTTATGGTGCACTATAGCCTTGAACTTGTGGGCTCAAGCTGTTGTCCTGCCTCAATGTCCTAAGTAGCTAAGACTACAGGCGTGTGCCACTGTGCCTGCTGGTGACATAAGAAACAAGATTTTAAAGCACAGTGTAACACTGTAGTGCTGGGTTTATCATGTACACATAGGCTGGTTACAGAGGCTCACACCTGTAATCTCAGCACTTTGGGAGGCCAAGGTGGGAGGATTGCTTGAGCCCAGAAGTTCGAGGCCAGCCTGGGCAATATGGTAAGACCTTTTCTCACTTGATCTTAGCCAAAAGGCTGAGAAGTAATGGTGAGACCTCTTCTCTACCTAAAAACTAAACTAAAATAAAAAAACCCTTTTAAACATATAATGTATATATAGGTGTAATTGTACAACAATGGCACTAAGATGGGGCAGGGCAAATGGAAACTTACTGTTGTAAGATTTGTATATTTTGCCTGCTTAGAAGAGACATACTTTAAACACAGAGACAGGATGGAAAAAGATTATACCATGAAAAGAGTACACATAAGAAAACTGAAGTGACTGTGTTAACATCAAAAGAAAGAAATTATAAGACAAAGAATATTATCAGAGATAAAGAAGGATACTTTATAATGATGAAAAGGTCAGTATCTTACAGAGATATAAAAATCTTCAATGTGTATGTCCCTGATAACAGAGCTTCAAAATACTGAGGCAGGTGCAGTGGCTCACATCAGTAATCCCAGTGCTTTGGGAGTCCAAGGCAAGAGCACTACTTGAGTCCAAGAATTCAAGACCAGCATGGGCAACATAGTGAGATCCCATCTCTACAAAAAAGTTTTAAAAAATTAGCTGGTTGTAGTGGTGCACACCTCTAGTCCTAGCTGCTCTAGAGGCTTGAGCCTGGGAATTCAAGGCTGCAGTGAGCTATGATAGCACCACTGCACTCCAGCCTGGGCAACAGAGTGAGACCCTGTCTCTAAACTATAAAAATAAAAAGTCTACCAGGACTGGTAAGTGAGTTTAGCAAGATACAGTAGGATCTCACAGCTATAATGGGATACAAGATCATTATACCAAGAAAACCATTTGTGTTTTTGTCAGTATACCAAAAAAAGTAACTGGAAAAAAAATTAATGTAGTGTTCCACTTGCCATATCATCTAAATACATGAAGTGCTTAGGAATAAATTTAACAAAATGTATGTAAAACATACTGAAAACTACAAAATATTAGTATAAATAGGCTTGTGGGTTGAAAATCTCAGTATAATAAACATCCATTTTCTACAAATTCATCTGTAGATTTAATACATTCTTAATCAAAATTTTTCCTGTAGAAATTGAAAAGCTGGTTTGAAAATGAAAGAGTGTGAGCCCCTAAATCTGAGTATGATCAGCCTAAATCCTTGGCTGTCTGCCAAATTACACAGGCGCATGCCTACTAGAATATAAAAAAAGTCTCCAGAAGACAGAAGTCCTCTATGGAATGCAGAGTACCTAGAACTGGCAAAGCTAGCAAAGATTGAGGACTGACTTTTACAGCACCACAAGGCTGTGGTGCTGGCAAAAGAAGATATACGGTATACATAAATGAGAGGATGGAATCCAGAAAGAGACCCACACGTAAATGAACAATTGATTTGCAGCAAAGGTCCTGAGGCAATTCAATGGTGAAAGGAACATCTTTTCAACAAATGGTACAGCGGCAACGGAGTATCTTTGTGGAAGAAAACAAACATTAGCCCATATATGCTACCCAGAAAGCTCAAAATGGACTAAAGCCCTAAAAGAGTTAAAACTATAAAGCTTCTGGAAATATTATTGGGGAAAATGTTCATGCGACTTCTGGGTATGAAAAGATTTTCTAAGTAGGATACAAAAAGCACACACCATAAAATAAATGAATGCTAAATTGGACTTTATCAAAATTAAAGTGTTTGCTCTTCAGAAAGAAATGAAGAAAATGTACAATATGGGAGAAAATGTTTGTAATTTCTGAGCAGAAAGAAGGAGCTCCAGGCAACCATAGCATAGACCCAGCTCAAAAGCATGCTTTGTGAAAGAAGCCAGACCCAAAGGTGTACATGCTGTATATTTACATAAAAAAGATACAAACCAGTGGATAGTGACAAGAAAATACATGAGTAACTTATTTGGGGCTTGGGTGGAGGGAAAATTGCAGAGAAGCACAAAGGAACTTTCAGGGGTGATGGAATGTTCTGCGTCTTTATTGTGAGGGTGGTTATGCTGTTATGTTGAATGTAAATTTTATTGTCTGTAAATGATATCCTCCACAAAGTTGTTTCTTCTTTAAAGTAATTATTTATTTGTTTATTTAGAGAAAGAGTCTCACTCTGTCCGCCAGACCAGAATGCAGTGGCGTGATCTTGGCTCACTACTACAACCTCCACCCCGGTCCCTGGTTTCAAATGATTCTCCTGCCTCCTGCGTAGCTGGGATTACAGACATGCATCACCATACTTGGCTAATTTTTGTGTTTTTAGTAGTGATGGGGTTTCACCATGTTGGCCACACTTGTCTCGAACTCCTGGCCTTAAGTGATCCACCTGTTTTGGCCTCTCAAAGTGCTGGGATTACAGGCATGAGCCACTGCATCCAGCCTAAAGTTGATTTTTTAAAAAATCCACGATTTAATAAAGGGAGCTATTTAGTATTCACTCACTAGACGATGATTATACTTTAGGTTGCTTATTCTCTTTTCCAGAACGACTGTCTTGTTCAGTATCAGATTCCTCTCTATGGTGATGTTCTTCTAGGAAGAGTGTTCTGCCGCCAAGTTCTGGTAATTTTGCTTTGTTTGATACTTTTGTCTCCCCTCAATTATGCAGGATGGTGTTACCAAGTTATGACCAATGACAAATGAACAGATGTCTTTGGGGTCGGGGGGGACTTTTAGAAAAGATGGAGAAATGGGATAGATTATGTTTGCTGCCTCCCCAACCCCACTAAAATGATAGTGAAGGAATTTTGTTTTAAAAAGTTACAAATCAGGCCAGGCTTAGTGGCTCATGCCTGTAATCTCAGCACGTTGTGAGGCCAAGGCAGGCAGATCACAAAGTCAGGAGAGCAAGACCATCCTGACCAACATGGTGAAACCCTGTCTCTACTAAAAACAAATAGAAAAATTAGCTGGGTGTGGTGGTGCTCACCTGTAGTCCCAGCTGCTTGGGAGGCTGAGGCAGAAGAATCACTTGAACCCGGGAGGCAGAGGTTGCAGTGAGCCGAGATTGTGCCACTGCACTCCAGCCTGGCAACAGAGCAAGACTCTGCACCACCCTCTCCCCGCCCCCCCTAAAAAAAAGAAAAGAAAAAAGTTACAAATCTGTAAGGATGGAGAGATTGGGAGCAGAGATTGCAATGGGCCAGAATTTTACCTACAAAATTTTGAAAACTGAAACATAGGTGCATATATGATGAGTAATTTAGGTTTCAACTTTATCATCTCCACCAAGTATTTGCAGTAGAGGAAGCTAACAGGAAGCAGTCCTGTTTTCAGCCACATGTGGGCCATGTTCTCTGGGATAAGTTTTAAGTACCTGTGAATATAAGATGTACGAAAGTCTGAATGTGGAAGAGTTAGCACCCCAGATCCCCATTCCCAAAGAATATGTGTGTCAAAGTCTAACTTAGGGAAACCCTGTTATAAATGAGGGTGGGAGGCAGGTTTCTTACCCAAAATAGTAGATTAAGTTGAAGTCTGTATGTTCAGCCAGATCTTTCCACCTACCTTCCTGTCTTGGCTCCTGCTGTCCTGGCTGTCGGGCTTGTTATCATAGACACCATCTGTGCCCATTGAAAGACTTACCTCAGAGAAACTGACCCATCCTTGGCTTCTAGAACACTCGTTTATAAGCCCCTCAGCCAAGACATTATAACATTTCTCTGTAGGGAAATTGACTGGCCTATGGAAAAAAACTCAAACATGATATTTAGAATTGCCCTATCCCATCACATGCTATGAGGTCCCACAATAACCAAGTGATGCTCATCCACACAGAATTTCTAGTTAGCTCTTTCGCACCTCTTTTCCCTTTTGAGATGGGGTCTGGTTCTGTTGCCCAGGCTGGAGTGCAGTGGAATGATCACAGTCTTGGCTCAGTACAGCTTTCTTCCCCTGGGCTCATGTGATCCTGTCACCTAAGCCTCCCAAGTAACTGGGACTACAGTTACATGCCATCACACCTGGCTAATTTTTTTTGTATTTTTTTAGAGACAAGATTTTGCCATTGTTGTGCGCAGACTAGTTTCAAACTCCTGAGCTCAAGTGATCCACTGGCTTTGGCCTCCCAAAGTTCTGGGACTACAGATGTAAGCCACTGTACCCGGCCTGCACTTTGAAAAACAAATTCCTCAAAGAGATAAGATGTTGCATCAAGGAAGCAAGAGCAGGATGCCAAGTAAAGGAACTATACAGGAATGTTCTTGAGAATTGAAAAACCTCACTAAATGCGGATTGCAGTAAAGAGGTTGGAAGATAGGCCAGGCATGGTGACTTAATAGCTGTAATTC